TTTTTTCATCAACGCCCCTTCATTTCCATCAATTTTGCATCCTTTTTGTCCATCCTTTTTCCAGCCCATTCCATCCAGCCATTTCCCATGAATTGTTTACTCGCATTCCTTTCCCTTTTCGTTCCCGCTGTCCGGCTCCCTTCACGTTCTGCCCGTGCATTTTCCTGCATCTCGGTTTCTCTCCAGTGCCCTTTTCATTTTCGTGTAATTTTTTTGATTTTTATTTCGTTCACTTTCAGTCACTCCTGTTTCCTTGTATTTCCCCTTCAGCCCCTTGTTTCGCATCGCCAGCACGCATAGCATCATCCGCATCATCCGGGATGATGCTGGCAATGCTGGGGGTGTAGTCCAGTATTAGGCACCACCTAAAAATACTCGTTTTTGGACTCGTTTTTGGATGCTGCGGGGGATGCTACAAAAATCCTCGGAAATCGCCTAAGCCAATCCGCAAATCCTTCGCCCCTTATAAGGGTGGGCCCAGCGCAAAACGTATGCGCATGGTCGGAGCATGGTCGGCGCATGTTCTGCGCATGGTCGGCGGCATGGGGCGCGCGGCCTTATACCTGAAGGTAAGCCCTGCGGGCTTTGGCCTGCGGCCCGATCACGTCCGGTGGCCGGATTTACACGCTGACGCGACACAGCCGGCCACCGGGCACCTTGCCCTGCTCGTTCTGTCACTTCCCTTTCCTGTAAGTCCGATTAGTAGATGTTAAGATTTTCAGATTCTAAAAACTTTGAGATTCTACAGGTCTCAGATTTGAAGACTGTCGGAATTTAAGGTTTCAATGGTTTAAGAATTAAGGTTTTAAGATTCAAAGATTTAAAGTTTTTGAAGGTTATAACAGCCAGGCCATTGCCCAGCCATTTTCCATCTATTGTCACTTTAAGATTTTATTTTTCGGAGATTTTCAGATTTGGCGACTTTCGGAATTTAAGATTTTAAGATCTCAAGATTTCAAGGATTCAAAGTTTCAAGATTAAGAGTTTAAGGAATTTAAAGTATAGCCCGGATTGAAGGAATTTTACTATATTTTACTTGTTTATGAAGTTAATATTTTCAGATTGCAACAGTTCGAGATTTAAAGAATTTAAGTTTTGAAAGCTTTTCAGATTCTGAGATTTTAAGACTTTGAGAATTTAGGAAGTTCATATTTTTAGATTTTAACATCTGAAGATTCAAAGATATTCGGGTTTTAAGAGGTCAAGATTCGAAGACTTTAGGATGTTTATATTTTCAGATTGTAAGATTCGATCTTCTAAGGTTGTAAGTTTAAGATCTTGAGGTTTCAAGATTTCCAAATTTCAAGAGTAAGAGTTTAAGACTGTAGGAATTTCATATTTTAAGAGTTTAAGATCGCAAGATTCTAAGACATAAGGGTTTTAAGATTTCAAGATTCGAAGACTTTAGGATGTTTTTATATTTTCAGATTGTAAGATTCTAAGTTCGAAGATTTTAAATCTCGAGATTCTAAGATTGATTGTTAGATTTTAATTTAAGATTTTAAGAATCTAAGACTTTAGGATTTTGAGGTTTCAATCCAGGCCATTTTCCATCCATTTTCCATCCACTTTAAGATTTTAAGATTTTCAGGTTGCACGTTTTCGGCAAAGTTGGCCCGACTTAGGGGACAACATCCCCAGCATCCCCCGAGACTTTAGGATGTTTTTATATTTTCAGATTTTAAGCTTTGGGATTTCGAGATTTCAATCCAGGCCATTTTCCATCCATTTTCCATCCACTTTAAGATTTTAAGATTTTCAGGTTGCACGTTTTCGGCAAAGTTGGCCCGACTTAGGGGACAACATCCCCAGCATCCCCCGAGACTTTAGGATGTTTTTATATTTTCAGATTTTAAGATTCTAAGTTCGAAGATTTTAAGATCTCGAGATTCTAAGATTGATTGTTAGATTTTAATTTAAGATTTTAAGAATCTAAGACTTTAGGATTTTGAGATTTCAATCCAGGCCATTTTCCATCCATTTTCCATCCACTTTAAGATTTTAAGATTTTCAGGTTGCACGTTTTCGGCAAAGTTGGCCCGACTTCGAGGACAACATCCCCCGCATCACAGGCATCATCCGCATCAATGTCCGCCAATGATGCGGATGATGCAGGTGATGCCGGGGATGTTGTCCACTATGGGCACCCCCCAAAAAACACTCGTTTTCTGACTCCGCCGGGAGATGCTCAAAAAGCCGCCAAAAATCGCCTGAGCAAATCCGCAAATCCTTCGCCCCTTATAAGGGTGGGCCCAGCTTGGCGCAGCGCAAAAGTTCGGCGGTGGGTCGGCGGCATGGGGCGGACGGCCTTATACCTGAAGGTAGGCCCTGCGGGCCTAGGCCTTCGGCGATGTCACGGACCACGGGTCAGGGGCCCCCGGTACGCGACACAGCCGGCCACCGGGCACCTTGACCTGGCCGTTCTGTCACTTCCCTTTCCGTTAATTCCGATCAGTTCCCGAGATTTGAACCTCACTTCCTTTGCGCGTGTTTCCTGCATCTTCGACAGTTTCGCCGTGTCAGTCGCAGTCCTCCCCTCTGTTCTTTTCAGTTTCCGTGACTTCAGTCCGCCTCCCATTCCACGTCAGTTCCCTTCATTTCGCAGTTTCTCTTCGTTTTCCATAATTTCCACAATTTGTTTTCGTTTCCTTCTTCGGTTCCCCTCGTCTGACCTTGCATTTGCGTGCATTTTGGCTTCTCTCCAGTGCCCCCTTCAAATTCGTGCAATTCCTTTGATGTCCATTTCGTGGACTTCCAGTCACGCCTGCTTCCAATTTTCCGCCCCTTGTTTCGCATCGCCAGCATGCATAGCATCATCCGCATCATCCGGAATGATGCTGGCAATGCTGGGGGTGTAGTCCGGTATTAGGCACCCCCTAAAAATACGCGCGGCCTTATACCTGAAGGTAAGCCCTAACGGGCTTTGGCCTGCGGCCCGATCACGTCCGGTGGCCGGATTTAAGGGCTGCTGCCCAGTGCCGCCGACCCCAAACCAGTTTGGGAATGGCTGAAATGAGCGGGGCCGCGATGGGTCCCCTCTTGTAGCCAGGGTGCGGTGCATTTTTGCTTTGCTTTCGCGTGAAAATGCACCGCTTTTATGATGATGATGATGATGATGATGATGATGATGATGATGATGATGATGATGATGATGATGCATTCTGGAGCGATCGTTTTCTTTCCTTGGCTTGGTGCATTTTTGTAATAATCTGGTAAGAAAATGCACCGCTGTAAGTGCCTACAATTCTGCTGCTGCTGGGAGCATGTGCCGTGACGTTGCGTTTGCAGTAGAGGCTCATCGCCGGTCACCCCGCAAGCCAACCAGTTTTCTCGCCGCAAGTCGGGGCCGCGATGGGTCCCCTGTTGTAGCCAGGGTGCGGTGCATTTTTGCTTTGCTGTCGCGGGAAAATGCACCGCTTTGATGATGATGATGATGATGATGATGCTGAACTGACATGATAATCATCATGACGCATCCTCAGCATCACCAGCAGGCATCATGATAATCATGTCCACGCATCTTCTGCATCTCAAATCGGCTCTAACGGGACTGATGATGATGATCATGATGATGATGATGAACTGACATGATAATCATCATGACGCATCCTCAGCATCACCAGCAGGCATGATAATCATGTCCACGCATCTTCTGCATCTCAAATCGGCTCTGGCGGGACTGATGATGATGATCATGATGAGCACCGTGATGATGATGATGATGATGAACTGAGATGGTGGTCATTATCCTCATCATCATCATCATTGTCATCATCATCATCGTCAAGATCGTCATCATCATCGTGATCATCGTCGTCATCATGATGGGTGATAACCATCATCGTGATGATAATCATGTCTACGCATCCTTTGCATCTCCAATCAGGTCACGGTCATTATCGTCATCATCATCATCATTGTCATCATCATCATCGTCATCATCGTCATCATCATCGTCATCATTATCGTCATCATCATGGATGATAACCATCATCGTGCATCCTCTGCATCGCCAGCAGTCAATGATGTGATGACGATGAGCATGTCATCATCACCATGATGGTGGTCATCATCGGCATCATCATCATCGTCATCATCATCAGCATCAGCATCATCATCGTCATCGTCATCATCACCGTTGTCATCATGGACGATAACCATCATCGTGCATCTTCTGCATCACCAACAAACAGTCATGATGATAATCATGACTACGCACCCTCTGCATCTCCAATCGGCTCTAACGTCACGCTTGAAACGTATATTAAAAAAAAGACGACAACATCATCTCTACGCATCCTCTGCATCTCCAATCAGGTCACAACGATGATGATGTGATAATGATGAGCATGTCATCATCTCCATGATGGTGGTCATCATCGTCATCATCATCATCATCGTCATCATCATCGTCATCATCATCGTCATCATCATGTCATCATCACCATGATGGTGGTCATCATCGTCATCATCATCGTCATCAGCAGCATCATCGTCATCGTCATCATCACCCACCGTTGTCATCATGGACGATAACCATCATCGTGCATCTTCTGCATCACCAACAGTCATGATGATAATCATGTCTACGCACCCTCTACATCTCCAATCAGGTCACAACGATGATGATGTGATGATGATGAGCGTGTCATCATCACCAAGATGGTGGTCATCACCACCATCGTCATCATCATCAGCATCATCATCATCATCGTCATCGTCATCGTCATCATGGACGATAACCATCATCGTGCATCTTCTGCATCACCAACAGTCATGATGATAATCATGACTACGCACCCTCTGCTACGATGACGGTATTGCTTACGCTGATAATGTTGAATCTTCGGCTATGCTCATTTGGACTTGTGCTGTAGCCACCCTTCCCGTGCGCCTCCCCCTTTGAGGAGAAGGGGTCGGCGGATATATATATATATATATACATATTGTATATTAAAAAAGGTTTGGTCAAGGAGAGTTAGGTTTGTTCTGTTTGCAAG